GCATCCTAGGGCCGTCTTTACCAAGTTATATGTGCTGTTAGTTTATTCATTTTCTAACATAAGCTAGGGCCAGTAATGATTCAATATTTCTGTGCATGCAGCTATCAGCTAGAGCACATCACACAACTGACATGAAGTGAGCTGCACGCGTATTTTGAAAACCTAACAGCCAGCCAGATTTCCAACTTGCATTGTGAAAAGGCTTCACAATGATGAAGTCATGAGCCAGGATTAAAATGTAGATGCCTTAGCTTTCCAGCCAGGGCGGTTGCTTCAGGGACATTTCTGCCAGTAGTCATTCCCTCCTGCTCTGGCAGCTCCTCCGGCCTTAGGTTCTTAATGAAGGAATAGTACCAGGCAGGATGGAATCTATGTACAACACTTCTCCAAGGACTCCTCTTCTTCCACATTTTATTTGTCTCAAAGACATGCAAATTAATGCATTACCCTTCTGTCTCACACTGCTGTTTTTGAAATGAATAAAATATTTTTTATTCTAAATGTAAGTTAGTATTGAGATTTTAGAGCAAAGCTTTTACTTCTAAAGAGCACGTAGAAATCTTATTTATAAAATCACTGCAGTTGCCCATTTCTTTAGCCACCAACTCATCTGACCATTCCAATGCCACAGAAAAGTCTCAGAAGATTGAGTATGCATCCTTGAGGAAAGCTTTATAGAAACTCAACAGCTGAATGCAGGGATTACTTCAGAATTCTGAGCATAACTCAGGTTACACCCCATTCAGTGGCTCAGAAGTTTATGACTGATGGGATACCTGAATTAAGGCAGAAAGAAAAGATCATGAAATTAAAGGATCAGTCCATAGCCAAAGCAACTCTTGAGCTCTTAACTAAAATCTCGTAGGTCTCATCTCCCAGGAATGCTCCTGAATCTCTGAGATCCTTATTCTGACAGCTCTGCCAGCCAATCTTATATTTTCAAGTAAAAAGGGACCCTTCACTTTTGCCACACCAAGATGATTTCAGTTTAAGGATAATCCACTATGAGTTTCCATTAGAAGAACATTAAAGTAGAAGACAGAAATAATGCTTCATTATGTTTAAAATTGAGAACTATTTTGGAATGTCCCCTTTTTTCCTTCTTCATGGTATGAGTCATAAAGGAGAAGCTGGTAAGAGGTGCTTATTTTATTAAATAAACAGTGAAAAGTTTTTTCTTTTTTCAGTAACAGGGCCTTCAGTAACTCAGGACCTTATGCTTTCAAGGCAGGTACGGTGTCACTGAGCTTAAATCTCCAGCTTGGTGAAAACTTTCATATTATGATTTTTTTTGTTTAACCAACAAAAAATTCATACAAATTTCACAACAGATCGGTGGCCTGCCTTGCAAGCACAAGAACCAGAGTTCAATCCCCAGTACCAAAAAAAAATAAAAAATAAAAATAACAGAAGAAAACCAAGGCTGATTCACATGATGAAACAGAGTTCTTAACTAATGCAAAAGATAACCTTATGAAACAGTTATAAAACTGTTTTGTTGGGATTATAATATAAATGATGCCATAGACAGAGAGCTACACAAGATGTAGAAACTTTAAATTCTAGTCCTATCTTGGACTCAATAGGTAGCCTTGGAAACGTTACTATGATTTCTTCTTTTTCAACTTCAGTTGAAGAGTGAATATAATCCATACACTAGCTATGTCACAGCTGAGAAAATTAAATGAGATCATAATATGAAATCATTTCTAAATGTATGAGTTATGCTAATGAATGAGACAGTATTATAATTATCATTTTGCTATTATATGTTTTAAGAATGTATAAGAAATTCTTGACACATAATAGGTCTTAAATAAAAATTATTTGTTTTCCTTCCCTACTTTGCCCTTGAGAACCTAGATCAATTTTAATCCTCATACCACTGACACCATTCATTCTATCTTCATGCTGTTTTACCACCAAAAATCTAGAGAAAGGAAAGATCATCTGTATGCCTTCCTATCTTGGCCTTCACTTCTAAAGCCTTTTCAGCCTCTAATGTAACCCAAAGGGTTTCCACGTAGCTCAGCTGTGAGAGCTGTTGAACTCGAAAGCCTAGGAAGCTTGTATTACTCCTTGTTGGCGGACATTCCTTAAAATATGAACATAATACTGACCAGGAACTTCCTTTGAAGTTCATTTCAACTACAAAAAATATTCCCCTGCATACTGAATAGAACTGATTTTATTCCACTGGGAACTTGCTGTGAAATACTACCAGGGGCAAAGACATAAGATACAAGTATGGTGAAAAAGTTGCAGTGTAAACATGAATACACAAATGTGCAGCGGGTGTAATACACGAACGAACTCAGGGTGTGCACAAAGGAAAATAAAGGCTCTGGGAATGTGAGGTAAGGACCAGACCTTCACCGAAGAGGTGGCATGAAAGCCACATGGTGGATGACTGGTAAGAGGCCTCCTGAGTGGACGAAGGAGAACTTGGGCTGGAGAAATTCAGTGTGGAGGAAAGTGACATGCACAGAAGGAAGTGGGTAAATATTGTCACAGCTGGTATCAGCTGAGGACTCCTTCAGATCAGTGGTTGTACCTATTTTAGTGATTTGATATCAACCTTGCTCTCAAATCTCACTGGAAAAATAAGTATGATTCATTGTGTTATATTTGCACATTGCTTCTAGAAAACCTGCTCGAGAACTTCAGAACTTGGGAAAGTTTAGAAACACACCTTTAATATTTAATATGGCTTTTGCACTTAATCTGTTTCCAGTTCCATTTCTCTTTAGTGTCACTTAAACACGTGAATACACAGAAGAACACATGGCCCTGTACTACTGACTGCTTAAGAAAATTTTTACTCTACGGACTTTTATCTGAACCATAATTTCCAAACAGCATACAAAAAGAAAAATGAAACAAAATAGGTATGAGTTTGAGCATCTAAGCTTCTCTACTGGATATTTGAAAAATATTTGACCTGACATGAATATAGATAATATGTGAAGCACAGAGAAAGGTGAATAATTTATAAATACTTGGTCAGTATTCATGCCTATTTGGTAGGTTTAAATCAACCATAGCTATTTCTGGGCTAATGCTATACTTTACATATTTGAGATTGTTGCACGAAAGCCAAGTTTTGCTTTGCATTAGTATTTTTTCAAGTTTTATAAAGGTATACTCACTAAATAAAATTTTCATGTTTTTAAAGTGTAAAATGTGTTGCTTTATACACATGTATGTTGTGAAAAGACTGGCATAACCAAGTTAATTTATCTATCACCTCCCATGTTTACCATGTTATGTCTGCAGTGAGAACACTTGGTAATATTCATGGCATATTTGACAGATTTAAATTATCTTTAGGGGGGCTGGGGATTTAGCTCAGTGGTTCTGCCACCTGCCTCGCAAGCACAAGGTCCCAAGTTCAATCCCTGGTACCAATAAATAAATAAATAAATCATCTTTAGCTATTATTGTGATAATGCTGTGCTTCATTTATTTAAGGTTCAGTTTAATATGTTTGCTTTACAAATAGCCAAATTTTGCATTGCATTATTATTTTAATTATTTTTCAGGTTTATTGAAATATAATTGGCAAATAAAATTTTATACATTTAAAGTATAACAATGTGATAACAATGTTCAAATATAATTCAAAATGACTGTAACAACCAAACTAATTTCACATGCTTGCAATTTTTTCTTCTGGAAAAGATACTTGACAATTTACTCCCTTATTAATTTCTAAGTATATGATATAATATCACTAGCTGAAGTCACCATATTGTAATTTACATCCTCAGAATTTATTCATATTTTTAGAGTGGAATTTACTTTATTTTTAATTAATATTATCTTAAATTCACCAATCATAATTCTATGATTTGGGGGAGATTAAAGTTTGACAAATAATTAATGAAAAATAGAATTGATATGAGCTCTAACTTCTCATAGTAATATCTGTTATTCAAAAGTTGGTAAAATAGCATCTCCTTACAAAATCTGACATTGGAAAACTGTAATGTTGAGAAATGGGACCAAAAAATAATCAATGAAAGAGCCATAGGTGATGAAATGATGTAAGTGAAACATAATGAATTTTTAATGATGATTAAAATTCCTAATAATTCCTGAAGGAGAATCAAGAATTGGTATGGAATAATTAATTGTTGTTTACAATGCAGTGATTATATTGAGAAAACAACAGTGATTCCTAGGAAGGTATGCTCTACACTATCCCATGATAGAAATTTCTAGTTTGATTACTTTATCTGTGAAAAATTTAAATATTTCCAAATAGAAGTAGATTTTTAACTTCATAACAATAATTTTATACATTAAGTCACTATTTCAACTAAAAATCAAAATATATTTCTGTTTTGACAATTACAATAAAATGTAGTTATATTATTTCATCGATATTAAAACTTTCTTTTCTAATTACTGAGGAAATGAGCTAAGTTTTTGTTCTAAAAAGACAAAGATAAAGCATTGATAAAATACACAATGCAGATGAAACAGAATAACCTTTTTGGGGGGAGAGTACTGGGAATCGAACTCAGAACCCTGCACTGGCCAGGCAGGTGCGGCACCACTGAGTTATATCCTAAGCCCACAATAACTATATTTATAAGATTCCAGTTGAGGTTTCCTATTGTTTGACCTTGTTACTTACTTCTAGCTCATATTGCCAAGCCCTAGTAGAATGTCTCATATAAAGCAATCCACTTTTTCTAAGCAGGCTTTCAGCTACCAAGACACTATTTATGTTTTAAAATCACTATTTGTGTAGGTTGGAGTTTTCCACTCAAACTACTTGTAATGAAATAAGTTCTTCTTCAATGAATGGAAAATTATATACTATAATGCTCTATCCTGGGGCTTTCAGCCAGGCCTGGCAAAGAACATCAGAGCTCTTAAAATTAATATGATAGGGGCCGGGGATTCAGCTCAGCGGTTTGGTGGCCTGCCTTGCAAGCACAAGGACCTGAGTTCAATCCCCAGTACCAAAAAAAAAAAAAAAAAAAAAAATTAATGTGATAAACTACCCTTCAGTTCTAACATAAAAGAAATAATTTCTGGGGTCTTTGTATTCACATGATGTAATATGAGCTTATTTCCATCTGAAATAACTACCTTAGAGAGAGGAGCATAACCTTGATGATTTATTTATTGGAGCTTCTTTTACATAAAACAATTCTATTTTTTATAACCCCTTTTCTCTCCCCACTCAGGTTTGGAGAGCCCATTTATTTCCCATACATGTTTACTTTTGAAAAGATGGCCATAGGTTTGTGCATATAAATCCGTAGAGATAACCTCTTCCACATAATTTATATATAAGTATTCCTGACCACTTTATGCTTACTTATTCTGTTTCTACCCTACATGAAAACAAACCAAACTGAGATAAAAAGCAAGCTAAAGAAGTAGAAACAAATGGATGAGGACTCTGGTCAACATGCAAATGTACCTGAGGTGTCCTCCATCACTGATTGGAAAAATAAGGTAAGGACCCATTTTGTATAATAATCATTCTTGCCATCAGATAACCAAAGCTGGAGGACACTTGTTAACTCTTTTAGTGGAACTTTAAGACTATTGTAAAAGCCTGGGTACAACCAAAACACACAGAGTGAAAGTGTAACAGCAAAAGAGCACGTTGCTGAAAAAGCACAGATTCTAAGACCTGAACCTGGTCCTGGCTTAGCTCTAAGAACTTGAGTTTTATACTCCTACTCTCTGAAAAAAATAGGATTAAGGTATCCCATTCCCCCAAACGACAGCATTTGTTAAGTCCTGCATAAGAGGGGATTGAATACAAATGTTGACCACTGTCAATGATAAGGAGAGAAAGGCCTTTCTGGGGGAGGATCAGCCTCTCTAGACTATGCTGAATCAGAGTGAAGAATAAGCAGTGAGCTAGGAAGTTGATCCCAAAGGCTGCAGAGAAGTAGCACAATTCCGGGGGCAGAAACCAGAGCAACACTACTAGAGCACCTACTACTCGATTACATATACATATACGTATACATATACATATACATATACACACACACACACACACATATATATATATATATATATGCATATATACAGGTTGCACTCAGCATACTGAACAAAATCCATAGGTGTGTGTGTTACTTCATATGTGAGCACCAACAGGAGGCCGTGCAGCACCATCACTGGGAAAGGAGTTTGATTCACCATCAGAATGGGAGTTAAGTAGGTAAGTGAGAAGAATTTTGAATGTCAGAGGGAGAAAGGTAGAAATGGCAGGGGAAATGTAATCTCGTTTATGAAACAGGAAATGGAGCATTTAATAAATCTCAAATGAACATAGCTTGTCCTCACAAACTGCTTAGACTTACAGAAGTTTTGTTTCAGTGTGTTGATTGCTTGCGCAGATGCATGCAGTACAGGGAAGAGCTAACCAAGAAGCAGGTTGGGAAAGAGGCATGAGTAGAAGTGGGACGGTGGCCTCTGACTGATAGGGAGAAATGGTTTCTGTTTCCCTGTTGGGTTTTGTGGCCACAAAGCACAGCAAGAGGCCGAATCCAGCTGTAATCAAATACCTCAAACTTTCCCTCCATTTATCTATGTGTAGCAAGGATATGTATGAAAAATTATAGGTTCTACCCCAAGTCCAAAGCAGTGAATCAAAGTTCTTTATATATGAAAAACAAGAAATAGTTTGTCTTAAAACAACACAGTTTACATCAGATCATTACTGTGTGATCTGTGTGCAACTGTGCAAGTTATTTAACCTCACTATGACTCCATTTTCTCATCTAACAATGCACAGAGCCTCAAGAAGTTGTTGGGTAGATTATATGGGTTCATGTTTGGAAAACCGCAAGGAAAAAATAGTATCCACCACAAAGCAGGATGAAGAAATAGTGTCTAATCATACAACTAGTCTACTATTGTGCTTGTCCTTATTTCAACACAGCCAGAGGCCCAGGCAGCCTTCTACAGTGCATAATATTCAGCCTTCCTGATAATCAAGAAAATTAAAATATAAAAGGCATTTGGGGAATCAAATCAAATCTATTCCTAAGTAGCCACCTTACTTTTCTGAATAATTTTGAAGTTAGGCAGATAGTTCAAACTATTTCAAGAACAAATCATTTATTTATTTATTTATTTATTTATTTATTTATTTATTTATTTATTTTCAGTAACTTAAACCAAATTACCAAAAGCTAAAATAAAGGAGCTCATTGAAATAAAATTATATATTATAATTTGCCCTGTCTTCTAAAGGCTTTTGTTCACACAGATGAGGAAAAGCTGTTGCCATATTCTGTGCCAACAGACAAGTGTATCCTACCTGGGAAAAGAAGCCAGACAGGATTGCCATGGGATATAAAAAAAGCTCAAAGGTAAGGAAAGAGCACTTGCCCAGTGAATGTCAAATTTACATATCACATTTTGCCTAAAGAAATGTCTTTTCCCTTTAATTTATATTTGTTCCTGGAGCTTCTTCTAGGCCTTCTCAGTTTCCATGTGGAGTTCAATCCATTTAAGCAATAATTTTCAATGGTTCTAACTCTAGGTAACACTGATACCATGATTGAGAGGGGGAAAAAGTCAAGAGAAATTAAAATTATAGAAGAATATTTGACCCTGAATTTTTGGCAATGAGGACATTCAACAGAAAATAAAATTTAATCCAAGTCAAATTAGATTAGGTAAATATTATCGTGAAAAAAATGAAACAGGAATTTTAAGAATGCAAGTAATGAACCTTTTTGAAGCAGGTTGAGAAATACTCAAAAAGGTACAAGGATCATTTAATGTTGGTCACCCAAAAGCAGCGCAATTTGACTTGGGAGAAATAACAATTTGAGAAATAATAAATGGAAAATAGAATTGACCCCAGCTACACATCTTATAGTAATCTCTATCAGTCAAAATTTGATAAAATAATGTCTTCTCATAAAATCTAACATTAAGAAACTATAATAATCAATGTAAGCTGCAAGTGATAAGGTGATGTGGATGAAATATAATGTAGCAAATCTTTAGTAATGATGCAGTAAAAATTTTAGTCCAATTAAAATAAACACAGTAGAATAAAAGGTTAAAATCATAAATAGTTTAACACTGCTATATTAAAAATTAAAGAATCAAATGAACTAACATTTCACTCCAAAAGACCCCAAGAAATCTTTACTGATCTAAATATATTAATTATGTATGTCTGAAATAAAAATTGGAACTTATAAACAGACTTACAGTATCTTTATATTTAACTTGAGTCAAGATTCCAGAATTAAACGGTGGGGGTGAAACTAGCCAATCTACATGACAGCTCTCTGTCTAGTAGGCTAATTTATTTGCTTTTGTGATTCTGATATTGAAGTACCAAATAAGCTAGCCTTGATTAAATTAGTAAATGAAATAAATATTATGAACAAAGGAATATGAAATCACTAGTATTTGTGCTCTGAGGTTTTAAGCAGCAGTAGGTTATTCACTCAGATAACTGTTTGATTTCAAGAACAGAAGCCATAGCTGGAAACAGGGCAGAGCCGAGCAATGGCTGCAGCATGGAAACCAGGTAGGAGGCACCAAGAGAAAAAGGGCAGTGGCTTGAATGAAGTCATGCAGTGGAGATGGTGGCATGTGGAATTGTTTACGAGAAGGGAAGATAGGCACAAAAGCAGGTTTGGTGAGACACAAAGTTGAACAAACAATCAGGCAGGAGACAGGAGACAGAAATGTAAGGTTTAACAGCATTATTCAAGGTACTGAACATATCGAACCAGAAGCCTTCCAGGAAAGTCAGAAAGAGGAAATTCCTCCAGAGGGCTCTTCAACAATCAGACTGCACATTAGAAACTGGGTGGAGAAGTAGGCGTCAGAGAGACAGAAGGAAAACCAGGACAGTATAGAAGCAAAGAAGGTGTTTTCAAAAATAGATTGTGACTATGTTAAGTGCTTCAAAGACATTAAGGGAGTAAGGAGAATCCTTTGTTAGAGAATTCTTCATTAGAACAGCCAAATATAAAGGTATAGGGAAAGTGGGAAGGGTAGGGGAAACAGGTAATAAGGGAAAATAAAAAAATGTGAGAAAATGAAAAAATGGAAATAAAGTGTTTGTAAATAGGGAGGGTAGGAAGAGGTGAAGGGAGGGCAGGGACAAAGGCAAAAAATGAGAACCAAGAGCTATCATGTAAAGGTACAAGATCCGACTGATGAATGTAACTGTACTGTATACCTCAAATTTACCAGTAAACTCAATGAGAGAAAAAGAAGATGAGTTTATGGAATTAAAATTAGTGAAAAAACCAAACTACTTTGTGGGGGAAAAAAAGAACAGCCAAATAAATATCTTTGAAAACTTGGATAAAAAGCTATCACACAAAGTACTACAGACAAAATAATATAGCAGTTGGCATTGGCTAATGACAGAACATGAGAAAAGAAAGTAGAGTCACTCATGTAACCAATTCTTTAAAGAAATGGGATGGTGTCTGGAGGATGATGAGGGAGTTAATGGAGAGTTTCTGTTTCCTTAATTCAAGTGTCTGGGATTAAGTCCTGTTTATAAACATAGACAGAAATCATGTCAGAAGAACAAGGATTCACCGCAACATCAAGGCCCATGACATGGCAGCACTGATGGAGGTCCCAGCCTCAGAAGGGATGAGGATAAACCTTGAGTGGTCACAAATGGGAATTCATCACTGGGCACCCTGTACTCATCCTCTTTGAAAGAGGAGACCGTTGAAGAATGTTTTCTGTAGGCTAACTACAGCAGTACACCAATTTTCTTAACCTCACTCACGTTGTCAGCACAGATAAACTCTTTACAGGAAATGTAAGAACTGAGGAAGTGGTTCAAGAGAGACAAAGATGGTACAATCCACACAACCCCAATCCCCAACAACAGGAGGGAGCACACTTAGAATCTGGGAGTGTTTCCTCCCCGTGGGGACATGCTTCTGAGGGATGCAAAATCAACAATTCCTGGGTGGTGATTCAGCCGTGACTGGAGTTCCTTATGGCTACCTTTTCTGGGAGAATGGGAATTGCACAGGCTTTCAAGGTCATAGGTTGTGTTGGACTTTTCTTTCTTCTTTGAATCCTGTCCAAGCACAAGCAACACTCTGTGGTCATTCTGTCCTTGGACTATTTCATATCAGAAGCAGAGTGCTTATTCCTCCTTGGCTCATTTGTCTCCAACCCTTGTCAGGAAGACGAAGAATTTATTATGAGCCTAATTATTTAATCCTTATGGAGAAAAGAAAGGTTCATGAATAAAAACATGACTCAGATTACACTAAGCATGGAAAACTTATTTTGATTCATGATACATTTTCAAGCAGAATAATTCATTGATTTCTGATGGGTCTAAAGGGTCAGTGTCTACTTTTTTCTAAGGTGTACTCTTCAATATTTCACCTCAACCCTGCTGTTAGAAAATCACGAATGGAAATTTACAAAGTAGCCTCTACAAAAATTATATTGCTTGCCTGTCTACCTTGTAGGATCATATTCTATCAAGTTACAAAGTTTGTTTGAAAGAATTCTGACACTGAAAATTCTAACTGTAAGAAAAATAAATGAATCTAAAAGGTAAATTAAAGTGTTTTTTTTAAAGAGCCAATAAAGCGGGTTTTAAAATGAAGGCAGTGAAACACACATGAAGTAATATTTTTTTAAATTTTAATTGACAAAATGATAATTATATATTTTTATGGGGTGCAATGTGAGGTTTTGGAGGTTTTGTTTGTTTGTTCTACATTCTTGGCACTTTTTATTTTAAGATAAGTCCTCAATAAATTAATAGGTTGCCAAAACAGAGCTCAAACGTGCAATCCTCCTGCCTCATCCTCCAAGAGTGCTGGGCTTATAGGCGTGCACCACCACATCAGGAGACAGTGCAAAGTTTTATCTATGAATTCATTGTAAGTTATTTATTGAGTCAAGTTAATCAACATCTACTACCTCAACACGGTGACCACAGTTTAGAATGACATATATTTCAAAATTGCTATTTAATTTTTAACATTCTCACCGCAGACATGATCATCTTTTTAGCTGAGGATTTGTGTTCCAAGTAACATTGGATATCAGGGCATAAAAGTCCAAATTTGTGACTCTCGGGGGCAATTAAAGTGCACAAAGGCCACACAACTCTAGAAGCCAGGGCCGCTCAGACTTTCTTTTGCACATAAGCCACCTGAGAACCTTGTAAAAATGCAGCTCTGCTTTAGCAAGTCTGGGGCAGGGCCGGGAATGTGCATTTCAACCTCCCAGAGGCTGGCCAGACTGCTGGGTTGCAGAGCACAGTTTGAGTAGCAAGATTGCATTGCACGGGGCCAGCTATGGGGCCAGCTGGACAAACAGGAGGACTGGGTAAAATATTCGGTGTCAGAAAAGCCTGACTGTGGAGATTTTTATCAGAGATTGGAACATGACTTGCATGTCACAATCATAAGCTAAGATGGAATGATGAGAAAAAGAAGAGATATGGTGTGAAGGGATAATAAAACACCACGGGCTGCATGACCTTCCTCCTGGGTGGACTTTGCAACTCCAAATGTTAAAATCCCTTCAGGACAGATAAATCAGCCACTTGATAAAAGGATCCCTCAAGACTCTATCAGAAATTATCCCTTACTAATTAAATATTTAGGAGTGCCTAGATTTTGAAAGAAGTGTGTATTTGTAATGGAGATAATAGTGTTTAAGATTCTTAGACTCAGTGCTCAACCTATGACTTACCAAACTCTGGTTTCCTGCTGGGACTGGCTGCTCTTTTTTCTAGAAAAAAAAACACAAAGGGCAAATTTTGAAGCTCAGTACCCATCTCTCCCTGTCCTAAAACATCCTAATCCTTAGACTTTCAAACAGAGTAAAATAAGGTCAGTTGGACTGCCTGAACCACTATCAGCAGCCTTCCATATCCAGAAGATGGGTTATAGGACATCATGGATAGCAAAATCCAAAGACACTCACATCCTTATATGAAATGGCTTAATATTTGCACCTAGCCTATGCATCTGTTCACATATGCTTTAAATCTGTGTATTACTTATGCTACATATTACAATGTAAATGCTATGTAAATAGTTGTTGTGATACAATGTTAAGGTATTAATGACATCCAGATCCATGGTGAGCCCAACTCTAGTATATGATAGGGACTACATAACATTTTCAATTGATATCTGGTTGAATCTTCTCACATAGAACTTGCAGATGGACACTGTTCAAGGTAGGCATGGGGGATATGGCAGTACTTAATACCCAAAGCCAATGATAATGAGGATTTGACATTAAGAAGTTCAAAAAAAATACAAAAAGGTGCAGGAGCAGTAAATTTGGGGTAGCAAAATAACAGCTGCTATACAACCTTGTACCATGAAGGTGATCTGTGCATAAGCAAAAGTCACACACACATTATCAGAAAATGAGGCATTTTATTCACTTTCACTTTGTGGTACTGTTTAAACCTCAGAAGGTCATGAAAAACTTAATATGCCATAAGTACATTTACTTATATTCAAAGCAGCCAGTGTAGACTGGGGAAAGAGATGAAATTCAAAGTCAACATCCCCACTTTAATTACATCATGGATGACCTTCAGCTTTAGCAGAATCCTGCATGGTAGCCGTGGGTGGAGGCTGTTTGATTTGGAATTGAACTTACTGTTATTTGGGAGAGGGGTGGGTGGCACACCACAGTGAGCGATAAGAGCATTCTAAGGCCACAAGATTTGTCAATGTTAAACAAAAACATTAACCCTGTCAAGGAACACCCCATTCTCTGGTGCTTTATCAACCAGCCGCCCCTAACATTACTGAAAAAGTTTCTAGCACAGAACTGTTGTGCAGAAATTACAACACATGGACTCAACATTGATGCTTTCAGCATTCTAACAGTAACAAATAATTAAAAGTCAGAACAGGAATAAAGATCCCAGGGAAAGCAAACATTTTAAAATTGTGTTCATTTAGGAAACATAATAACATGATAATTAGGAAAAAAAAGAACCTTTAAGAGTTACTATGTGGGATACAAAGATCAACAGTGTTTTGAACACCAACAATGAACCCACTGAGAAAGAAATTAGGAAAGCAATCCTATTCACAATAGCTTTAAAAAAATAAATACTTAGTAATGAACTTAACAAACAAAGTGAAAGACCTCTTATAATAGAAATCATAGTGCTCTCAAAAAGGAAATCAAAAAGGACATCAGAAAATGGAAAGATATCCCCTGTTCTTGGATAGGCAGAACCAATATTGTCAAAATGGCCATACTACCAAAATTGACACACATATTTAATCCAATCCTGGTAAATACCAATAGAATTGTTCACTAAACTAGAAAAAGCAATCCTAAAATGTACACGGAACCAGAACAGAGCCAGAACAAAAGCCATCCGGAGCAACAAGAGCAAAGCAGGAGGCATCACAATGGATTTAAAGATATAAGAAAAATCTACAGTGATAAAAACAGCATGGTACTATCATAAAACAGACATGTGGATCAGTGGAACAAAATAGGCGGCATAAAAACAATCACAGGCACCTTCAGCTATTTGATCTTTGACAAAGGGGACAACACCATGCAGTGGGGGAAACATAGCTTCTTCAACAAATGGTACTGAGAATACCATATTTCTCACCTTATACTAAAGTAAAATAAATAAAATAAAAATGGATCAATGGCATAAATATTGAAACAAAAACCTTAATCTGCTGTAAGATAAAAGGTAAGGTGAGGTAAAATTCTTGAGGACATAGGCATAGGCAAGGGCTTTGAACAGAAACCCAACTGCATAAAAAGTAACATAAAGAATCAACACATGGGATTCTCTCAAATTTAAAAGCTTCAGGACAGCAAAGAAACAACCAACACAGAGACACCTACAGAGTGAGAAAAAAAACCTTTTACCGGCTCATCCTCAGGCAGTCTATGGAATATTTTTTTTAAACCTTCAAAATACTAGACCCCTAAAAATAAAAGACCCACTCAAAAAATGGGCAATTGAAATGAATGACGCTTATCAAAAGACGCACAAAGGGCCAATAAGCACATAAGAAAATGTTCAGTATTTTTGGCCTTTAAAGAAAGGCAAATCAAAATAACTCTGATATACCATTTTACTCTAGAAGGAATGCACTGTCACCAAGAAATCAAAAAGTAACAAATGCTGATGAAGTTATGGGAAAAAAGGAACCCGTGCACATTGCTGGTGGAGTGTAAACTACTATACCCTCTATGGAAACCAATGTGGAGATTAAAACCAAAAACTTCCACTTGACCCAGCTATACAAATCTGGGTATTTTCCCCAAAGAGTTAAAGACATCATATTACTGTGATACATGCACAAGCATGTTTATAGCAACACAACTCCCAACAGCTAAATCATGGAGATGGTCTACATGCCCATTGACAGATAACCAAATAAAGAGAGTATGTGCACTTAGGCACTGAGACCTGGGATGGACCTGAGGCTTCTGGGTATCAGCAGCCCTCATACCAAAAGAAGAATTTAGGTTCAAAAGAAACCTCTGTAGGCAACACACTTGTAAGTGTCATGGCCCAGTATAGGAAAAAAGAAAGATATTACCATCTCCTATGCATAAGTGTCCTTTTTTTGTGCAATTTCAAAAAAAAATGTGATGGAGAAATGTAAATGTAGAAATACAAAATACTGAAATAAGCAACAGAAAAAGGACCAGATAATGTGTTCCATATCTCTTATCATTTTAACAAAAAGAAAAAAGCTGATAGTAAGAATGACCAAAGTCTATGAAATCACAAAGTGATACAGTGGCCACAGGAAAAAGGATGTAAAACACATTTTAGCAATCAAAGTAAGTGCATGTTTTTATTAAAGGTGAAAAACTTTCAGACAGATGAGACAAAGTTCTGCTTTCTGCATAGCCAGACAGACCCAAGGATCTTGGGTGTGGATTTGGAGCCTGTTTTTTGAATGCTGCACAGTGGCTGTCAGAATACGTATGCGGTGAGTGTAAAGGCATGTCCTTGTGGATCACAGAAGCTGCAATCCATGATACCACATCACAATAAGACAGATGGAAGATGAAGATGGGAAAGGTTTGATTCATAAAGAAGTCAGGCCCTTGTGGTTCTAATGTCATGCTATTAGCACAGAGAGGGCGCTCAAAAAACTTTGGTTGAATGAAGGAGAACATCATATCTACACCATCTATTTTTATTATTTAAAATAAAGTAAACAACTATTTTTAAAAATCATCTATGTTTCAGGATAGTCTGAATTATAAAGCAAACATGTGCACCTCAAAATCTATGCAATCCTATTCCTTCCAAAAACCCAATGTGACAAATGAAAGGTTATCAATACTGACTTAAGCAGGAAACTTCCAATAGCATTTTTTATTTTTTTTGAGACAGGGTCTTACTATGTAGTTGAGACTGACCTGGAACTCACTATGTAGCCCAGGGAACTACACAGTGATGCTCCTGCCTCAGCCTCGTGAGTGCTGGGATTACAGGCATGCGCCACCACACCAGGCCCCAATAGCCTTTTAATAATCATGCCCTAGGTTGCTTTGACTCAGAGGTTATTCATTTGACTCTCTAAGAGCACTCGCCACTATGATTACATCCTCTGTCACACACACACACACACACACACACACGCATGCAAACATACAGCGGTACCTTGTTTCATGAACTCAGTTCTCTCCACTGTTCTGGTCACAAACCAAACTGGATGAGAACTGAATCAAATTTCCTAATAAGGTCAACACTGAACCAAACCAATGAATTTGATTCAGTTCTTGTCCAACTAGCTTTGTGACCAGAATCACAGAAAGACTTGAGATCATGAACTGAGGTGCCACGATGGATTTTCTAGTATTGCTCAACTAACATTTTTAATACTATCTTTCTCTTTTAATACTCTCACCTCATCATTGTTCCAGAAACTTAGGTGTAATGTTTTCCATTTTTAATTTTTCTAAATGTATTCAATACTATAGTGCAAATTATAGTGAGTTTATTATGTTGAATATTTAAGCATGAAATTCCTTAATTGATCTATATTTGTATTAGCTGCATTTTAAGAGATGTCTCAAAAGAAAGAAATAGAAGGACAAATTTCCTACAGAAACTGTGGAATCCAGGTGATGGGTAACAGAAAGGAGGAAATAAAAGAGTATATTTGCAATAATTGTGGCATTTGGAATTCTTAACACAATTAATTAGTTATAGCTATTTATAAGGCAAGCCATACTTCCTAATTGCCTCTTTTCATTAGTCATTTAACAGCAACAAAAAGTCAATTTTCTGCGCCAAAAAAAGGGTTCACTGAATGAAGACCAATTCATTTAGTTTCAAGCCATGTCATCTTCAATCAACATATGCTTCTATGATTCCATATTTTTCATCCAGAATGAATGCTGCTCCCTCAATGAAGAAAGCTGTAATCTCTTACCACATCAACCACTCTAATGTGCTACAATGGTATATGGTGAAGAACTTTAAAAAAGAAAAAGAGAAATTAGGAAGGAACCAATCTAATCTAACAGTCATACAAGAAATCAGAAGCAAAATTATTCTCATCAGTTTCTGAAAAACAGACATAATTGATTTTCCACTATTATTTGAGTGAAGAGGTTTAGAAATGGAATTTATATTTATTTTCTATTTTAAATGCAAATAGATTTGTACTGTTTTCATTCATTCAACTAAACATTCTTAAGCACCTGCTCTGTAGAGATAGTGTGAGGCTCGGATCACAGAGAAATAGTAAGACTATGTCTCTGCTTTTGAGTAGTTAGCGGTCCAGGGAGAAGGAGAACTTTACCATATCTCCAGAGGCAGCAATAATGCATAGAAGCATCACAGAGTAAGGTAGCGCAAAAACTGAGAAAGTGAGAAGACCAAAGTTCAGACTATGGAAGCTTGCAGCTTCAGAGCTCCAAACCGAACTAGGAGAATAATGACTCACCTCATCTTACAGTGCAGAAGAGTCCATTTCAGTTCTATCCAGGCCCACAAGACCACGAGAGGATTTTAGATGAAGCAATACCATTCAACATCTTTGCCCATCCTAATAGTCATAAGTTTTAGAAGAAGGTGTCTCAAGTACACCTGAAGGAGGAGGAACTAAGCACAATTCACGAAGTAGTTTATAAAAATGTATCTAATGCCACGGTACTAGTCAATCCTCAACCTCAAGAGAAATCTGAATGTTAGAATTGATGCATCACTTCACCCATATGCACCTGCCTTTTGAGAATGTCTAAGTCTGTCCCCTTTTCCATCAATGAGAAGCAAGACAACAGCCACACTTCAGTCCAAGTAGTGGGCAAATAAATACTAAAAAAAAGTGTGCAAGTTGAACAAGCATGAGCTACCAGTATCTGATAAATCAAAGATAAGGATTAAAAAACTATGGATAAATTGAGCAATTGACTTCTTTTCCAGCCATTGAGGCATGGCAAGAGTCCAATCACGACACAGAAAAAACAAAACAAAACAAAACCATCATCCTCGAGGAAAAGTAAGAAAACTCTGGTAGTTCCCAGGGGATGAAATGGGAGGAAGCAGAGGACACAAAAGACAAAGAAAAAGAAAGTGATTATTATATATGCACAGATGCATTCTTTACAGAACTTTTCTCTGAAAGCTGCCATCTATATTCTGAACAGCTGCCACCCCATAATCACATATATTTGTTGTCTTTTGCCACAGAGGTTTAGAATGTGTGCCAAAATATAACTGCTCGCTCACTATAGCCCACATTCTTAAATACAAATGTTCTCTGTTGAATGACAATTCATTGTGATTTATGAATTTTGCAAGAGCCTGCATCTTTAACTTCACATGAGTTTAGAATGACAATCTCCAGCATACCATTAATATTTAATTAAACCGAGCTGATTTTACTCACTGTGGTTTGATTAAGAAAAAACAGAAAGGAAATGTAACACCTTACAATACTGTTCATGCATAAGGACATGGATTTGCTTAAAGTAGTAACATTGTCATTTTGTTGTACTCGACTGTTTTTTAAGAGCAATGGCCATGTCATTTTATTCTTTGCATCTTCAGTGTATAACACAGTTTCAGGAATCAGGCCACATCTGAGCATTTAATAAATGCGTATTGTATAAATAAAAGTGAAAAATGGAATTCAGTGAGGAGAACAAAAGGTAAATTCCACTCCTGCATAGAGAGAGAGAGAGACTGATATGCTATCAAGTATTTCCATAACTACATTTTGGGCTCTTTCCATCATTTTAATCATATCACTTTACATTTTGAGCTCAAATATAGCTCTGGGTTCCTTATTGTCCCTCAGTACAGATGCATTTTTAGGAGGTACAAAACCAGTGGTTCCTGGGTCAAAATTCAGCCATGAATTTTATCATGTTCTCTCCCTGATACCTTCTCTGGGAGGGTAGAAATTGTACAAGGGCTCATGGGAAATTCCTGTGTTGGGCTTTGCCCCTCTGACTCCTGACCATCCAAGCACAGGCACTCCTCAGTGGCTCTTCCATAGCAGAAGTGGAGTGCTTATTCCTCCTTAGCTCATTCATCTTAAAAACCTTGTCAGAAAGATGAGTTTATTATGTAACTAATCATTTCAGCCTTGTGAAAAAGACAAGGTGTATGAGAGAAAACATAACTCAGATCATACTGAGCAATGAAGATTTACTTTGATCCACCATGCACTTTGATGCAGAACATTTTGCTGACTTCTGGTGGCATAAAGAGGCTGGCTTCTACTGTTTTCCAATGCATATTTCACTTTCCATCCCAACCCTAAAGTTAAAAACTTTTATAGAGAAATTTGCAAATATCTTCAAAGATGTTATATTGCATAACTCTCGGTCTTGTAGGATAGAATCAAAGAGCAAAATTTATGGGGAGGGGTTCTGACACTGTAAGTGCTATGTGTGAGAAAAGATAGTTGAAAGTAAATAGTGAATATGCAAGAATCAGTAATGCAGCCTTGAACACAGATGCAGAAAATATATATAAAGTTACATTTTATAAATGTATTTATTTTGAATTGACAAGTACATATTATCTGTATTTACTGAGCAATATTAAGTTGGATCTACAAATTCACTGTTAAAAGATTCTGTCAAATTAACTAACACACCCTTTACCTTACTATGGTAACCACAGTTCATAATTATATAGTGTATATTTCAAATTTGCCAATAGAATTTTAACATTCTCACCATATATATAATCACATTTTTAGTTGAGGATTTAGGTTATAAATAACGTTGGCTGTCACAGCATGGAAGTTTGTATTTGTATATCCAGGGGCAGTAAGACTGCACAAATGTGGAACAACTCTAGAAACCAGTGCTTTTCAGAATTTCATTCAAACCGAGCCACCTGGGAATCTTGCAAGAATGAAGATTCTGATTCAAGAAGTCTGGGACAGAGGGCAGTGTATTATTCACTTTCTCATCACTGGTACAAAATACCTAATGCCCACAACTTTAAGGTCAGCTAAGGAGAGAGCTGGACAAACAGGAGGAGTAAGAAAGTGGTGTTGAGAGGTGTTAAGAAAGCCCACCTGTGGAGATCTTTATCCAAAAGCGATTAGAACAAATTTGTGTTTGTCACAGTCTTAAGCTGAGCTAGAAAGGTGGGAAGAATAAAAGATGTTTGGGGTGAACGAGATAATGAAACACCTGTAGCAAGGACACTGTGCTCTTCCTAGAGGGGTACTTTCACAACTCTAAATGTGGGATGCCCTTAAGAAGCAGAAATCCACCACTTGAAAAAGGGTCCCACAACTTTCTAGTTAGCAATTATATTATTTAGGGAATCTGAGATTTTGAAAGAATTATGTATTTTTCAATGGATAGCTACTGTGTAAGATTCTGACACTGACTCAGTGCTCATACTATGACTTACCAAAGACCATTTTCTCAGAGGGATTTTCTGGTGATTCTTCTAGGAAAAAGCACAAAGGGCAAAAATCTTTATTTGTTAAATTCCATACCCATCTCTCCCTGTCCTAAAATATCCTATTCTTGAACTCTCACACACAGAATAACACAAGGTCAGTTGAACTAGCTGAACTAATATGACTGAAGATTGGTTCCAGGACCCCTGTGAATATCAAAACAGAGAATAACCAATTCCCTTATATAAAATCACATAGTATTTGTGTATCATCCCCTCATACGCTAAGTATCTGGATAACTTATAATGCCTAATATAATGTGAATGCCATGTTAACGGTTGACTACCACTTTATTTATTTTAATTTGGGTTATTTTAATTTATTTTCTGGTACCAGGGATGGAACTCAGGATCTTGCGCTTGCCAGGTAGGCAATGAAATCGCTGAGATAAACCCCAGCTTGACTACATTTTAAAAGTAATAATGGCATCCACAACTGTTGTAGGTCTAACTCTATGGAGGAAGTCAGCAACTACATGGTATTTTCAAATCATATTTGACTGCATGAACTTATATGGAACCTGCACGTGGTGGTGTGGGGATAAGGGTAATGACTGTGCTTAATACTCAACTTCACTAATAATGAGGACTACATCTTAAGAAGTTGTCAAGAACTACACAGAAATACAGAAGGGAGGAGTCCGAAGCGGGGAAATAGAGCTGCTAACTCTTCCATTTATGTCATACCTGTGCAAGGTAGGTAACTTGTACAGGCTCAGAAAATTCCTCACACCTAGTTTTTCACTAGCAAACTAGACATTTTGCTTAGTTAAAAATCTCTGTATCTGCTTGTCTCTGAGGACATATTGGTCATAAAAATTTAATATGCCTTAGCTTTCATTGTATGCAGAATGGCCAGTGTAGAATATGGGAAAGAAATGAAACTCAAATCGAACAGTTGCATTTTGGTTACATCATGTGACAGAACCCAATACATGGTAGCTATGAATCTAGACTCTTTAATCTGGAAGCACAGTTTATGGTTGTCTGGGGGGAAAGGGAGTTAGAGAGCATGCTCCACTATGAGTGACAGTAGCATTCTAAGGCCTCAAGCTTCACACAGGTTAAACAGAAATACTAACACTTTCAACTAACAACCCATTCTCTGGTGCTTTACCAACCCACAAATACTGCTAAAATGAAATCTTAGTACAGAGCTGTTATGCAGAAATCATACACTTGATCTCAGCATTAATGTTTTGCCTCAATCTGAGTAACAGCATCAACTCATCAAGAGTCAAAATTAGAAAAAAGATCCCAGGAAAAGTGAACATTTGTAATCTGTGCTCACTTAGGAAACAGTAATAAAATTTAGAGAAACATTGAAAGCTACCACGCACTAAATGCATTGCTTTGTTTACATTATTTCATTTAATATTCACAACAACATTTGAAAAAGTGAAACAATCAGTTTCTCTTTATAGAAAAAACAAGCACTGTCTGTGAAACTGTCCAGATTCCCATTACAGAGTCCACCTGCTGGGCTTTGGCCCTGATACCAAACCTCACTTCTGCCAGGCCTGATAACTGGATTCAGCTCTCAGGACTCCAACTCGCCAGAATAGATTGTGTCTGTGAATGGACAGAATTCCCAGAGCCATGATGCTGCCATTTAGCTGAATTTCCTGCATCTTTTCACAGCAGGAACCACCACTCGTGTGCCCTGCCTGTCCAACTGGCCTCTCTTTAGTTGATGATGTCTCCCCAAGCTGTACCAGGTCTTGGCAAGGACATCATACTGCAATGAACCAGGTAGCTGGCCTTGAATATCCACTGTCTTCAGCTGGCCTCATTTCCCACTGTATGCTGGCCTCCACCTTCACTTACTTACCAACATCTGCTATAGAGACCTGCTGCCTGCAGCCCGAGATGGTTCTGATGCTTAGCATAGTCATGCGAGGAGAAAGCTGGTTATAAATGTCTCACTTAGGGCAAGAACTAAGACAATGCTATTGGAACAAACATTACACAGGGATCATTATTTGATTCATTTTTTAATCTATCCCTTCCTCCAGGCAAGCATTTATTTATTTCATAATGGGTATGAGACACTATGATGAGTATTTAGGCATGTAGGGGTGAAAAAGGGAATCTGTCTTCATGTAGTTGTTTATAATGAGTTAGAATAATAAATCTTAACAAATCAACACAGGTTTTCTGCGCAAATGTTGTATGATGGGTATTATGAAGAAGTCCCAGATGAGAGGGCAGGAATCAGTCTAAAATGTAAAGGTTGAACAAGAAGTGGTGTGATAGTTGGCAGATTCATCAAAGGCAAGCACGGGCAGAGAGGGCACAGAAGGAATGAGGTTGGCAGCTACGAGAACCCAAACACAACCTGTGTCTGCGGAGGACCTGGATGAGGGGCTGAGTGAAGTGAGCTGGGCCTGCAGAAGGGGGACAGGGGGTAAATGGACACACCAATGGCTGGATAGAAGGCTCTGATGGCTCCCAGCCAGATGTCCCTATGAAAAAATACACAAAAGCCCTGAGATCTGAGGCAGATTTGAGACTGCTAACACCAGATAGATAGATGATAGATACATAGATAGATAGATAGATAGATAGATAGATAGATAGATAGATAGATAGATAGATGATAGATAACGGATAGAATATTTAACTTCTCCAAAGAAGTAACAATAGTGAAGTCCAAAAAGATAACACAATTTCCAAATGTCATGGTTCAGTACTGGAAAAAAACCACAAAATTAATATCCTATGCATCATTTCTAGTTTACACAACTTACAAAAAAACATAATATATTTTATTATTTAAAATAATGTAAATTATAATTATTTTTTTAAATTATCAACATATCAGGAGATTTCCTCAAATATGAAGCGAACACATGTTTCTTTAAAAAAGGCATCCTTGTCTGGGATTTAGCTCAGTGGTTCCACTGCCTGCCTCACAAGTGCAAGGGCCTGAGTTTGATCCCCAGTATGGAAAAACAAGGCACCCCTTTCATAAAACATAATACTCCAAAATAGTGAGTACATTGGTAGTGAAGCAGGCAGGCATCTATCTCCCCATAGCCCATAGCCCTTTGAGAATCACAGCCCAGGAAGCTTTGACCACAGATAGTTTCTCAAACTTCCCATCTGACTGGAGGAGCACTTGATACCACGGAAACATCCTTGGGCCCATACACACACAGGCACATACGTGCAAACATATTCGGTATGATCAAAAAATATAGTGAACATTTAAATAAAATTTTAAAAAATTAATATGCATCTCATACCGAAGAGATTTATCCCTTCTCTCTTCACTTTCAAAAGTTTCTGGAAATTCTTACTCATGAGTGTCTTTTTGTATCTTCTTCCGAGTCTTGAATTTATTCTACATGTTTTTGGCAATTTCTGACAGATAAAAACATTACAGTGTGTCCTCTTCCACCTTACTCACCAGATCTGGCACCATGTAACTTCAAGACACTCCCCAAACTCAAAATGATCCAAAGTAAAATGTTTGAATTGATTTGAGACATTGAAGCACCCACCACAGCCCAACAAAAGATCATCACAAAAGAAGACGGGCAGAACTTCTCCAGATGTGGACAAGAACGATGGGGTAGAAGTGTTTGAAGTGAGGACACATACTATAATAAATAAAAACACCATATTTTGTGATCACCCCTTATCATGGCTTGAATCTAGATGTCTCCCCAGAGCCTCATGTGCTCACAGCTGGGGCTTTTCAGAGATGGCTGGATCTAGGGTGTGTGAATGTGGACGGAAAGTGTGATACTGGGATAAAGTGTGTATGGTACTGGATGAGTCCACTAATTGTTTTATCATAGTTCTGGGTGTAGGTGATGCATGTGAGTGGCACCACCTACAAGAACTGTAGCCTTGATGGAATAAAAGGGAAAGAGCAGCTTGCTTGTTTGCTTGCCTGACACGCCATGGACTGTTTCTCCTCTGCCATACCCTGCTGTCATGCTGCCCTCTATGAACTGTGAGCTGAAATAAATCTTTCCTCTTTTAATTTGTGGGTATTGGGGTATATTAGACACACCTAGTATATTTTCCAGAATTCCTCAACTCACGCTTTCATTATTATTCCTTCATTTCAATGCACTTCTACATTAACTCAGCCTTGTCTTGAAAACTCAAATACAAAGTATCTACTTTTACTAGATGTATTCAGTACTATAGTGAAAAAGTACAATGTGAATACAAGTACATGACATTTATCATTTTAGAAAGAAATTCCTTAATTTAGCTATATTTGTATTAATAGCATTTTAAAAGAAATCTCAAAATAGAAACGAAACACAAAATTTCTTGTAGGTACTGTGGCATCAAGGTGATTAGTAATAGAGAAAAGGAAGTAAATAAAAGCATATATTTGGAAATTACTTTGCTATCTTGAGATTCTTCATGCTACTAATTGCTGTTCTGTATTTATAAGGCAAGTCATCTTTTCCAATGTATGCTTCTTTTCATTTGTGATTTAACAACAACAAAGTCAGTTTTCTGTGCTCCAAATCCCCCTAGTTTCACTAAATGAAGACCAACATCTTGGTGTATCATCTCAAGCAGTGTCATCTCGAATAAACCCATGCTTCTCTGATTCCACCTCTTTTGTCCAGAATGATCACTGCTCTTTCAAAGAAAAATGGTGCAGTCTCTTTCTGATCAGCCTCTGTAGTGCACCATAATGATGTGTGGTGGGAGTGTGAGAAAAGGGAAGCTAGAAACCAGGTGGGAAACAAAACTTTACAATTCACAAACCGAGTAGGAATCTTAAAATGATTCTCAACAGTTTGTGAAGAATGAACGTAGTAATTTCTCACTGTGCTTTCAGTAAAGGGGTTTCTATAAATGGTACTTGTTATACCTTACTATTTCAAGTGAAAATAGATTGTATTGTTTTCATCATTCAGCCTAAAGTTATAGAGCACTTCTCCTGTATGTGTCGTTGGCAGGAACACAGAAAGAGCAAGACCTTCTCTTTGCTTTTGAATAGTTAGCTGCCC